GGAGTATGATCCCTCTTCTCAAATATGCCCCGTTCTCTCCCTCACGGACCTTTCAGACCTTGGGAGACAGTATCCCAGAACCTGGAAATAAAGCAGTTGACACAATCACTGGAGCAGACAACAGCTTTTACTAAGTCCCAACAGTGTGTATGATGACCAGCTAAGCAATGAATGTGAAAACACATGCAAAAAAAGACATGGACTTGGATCCTAGGTTTTTTGTAATCAAGGTTGAAAGCTAAAACATAAACAAAATCTACAACTTAAAAAGGCAAAAAACAGCTGGGAGCCATGGTTCACATCTGCAGTCCTAGCTGCTAAGGAGGCAGAAATCAGGAGGATGGAAATTCAAGGCTATCCTGGGCAGTAAGGGTGGGCACAGCAGTATGCACCTGTCATCCCAACCAGGAGGATTTTGGTCCAGGCTAGCCCAAGCATAAATACAAGACCCTATTCATAAAATAGCTACAGCAAAAAGAGCTCGGTATGGCTCAAGTGGTAGAGCACCTGCCTTGCAAGTGCAACATCTTGAGTTCAATCTCCAGTATCATCAAAAACAGGGCAGAAAACATAGAGCAAAAATATTCAAGAGACAAATTTATTCAACAGAGGGATGGATTACTTTCACCAGGGAGGTCAATGAAAGTGTTAGGCTTTCTCCGGGGTCTCAAAAGAAATACCAAGGGACAAGAAAAGAGATAAGAAAAAGTTCCAAGGGGAACAGAGAAGTCAGAGTACATTAACAAGGAAAGCAGTACTTTGCATGATGTTCAAATGAACATATAGTCACAAGAGATAGAATGGGTCTATAAGGTAGCCTTCTGTGCCAGGTCAGGAAATTTGGCATTATAGATAGCTGTAACCAAATGCTTTGAACAGGAAGTAATTAGATTATTGCAATATTTTATGAAGGTGGATCTGGTGGCAATTAGAGGTGTGAGGTAAGGGCAGAGGGCAAAGGAGGAGAAAGTTTAGACAAGGCATAAAAGAATAAAGAGATCCGAATTGAGGAAACCCATCTTTGAATCTGATGGAAATATATCATTCAAACAAGGGGTCAAACACCACAAGATTGAAATGCAGAGTTTGAATTTGTTTTTAACTTAAGGAGTAAGAGGAGAAGGGTCTAGCAAAAACTAGTCACACAGCTGACATCCACAGAAGTGCTTTTTATCTTATTGATATTTCCAAAGATTCCAAAAGAAACTGGACAGAAAAGAAATCAGAGGAGCAAAGCATGTGTTTGAGCACTAGAACTCAAATCCTAGTTTCTCCACCCTCACCAACAAGCAAAAGAATCATTTGTGATGTTCTAGGAGAATTCTGTCTGGTGGTTGCCCTGCCTGGACAGTTTAGCCTCAAGTCAGAGGAGACAGAAGAAAAGGGCACTTTGAGGAATTAAAAATCTAGCCCTTATTTCACATTCTGTGGCTTGAAAATATAAATAGCTTCTATGTTAAGTACTTTTTAAAAGCTCTGCTTTAGTTCATCCTCTGAGAGAGCTGTATCTAAGAGACTTCACTTAATTTGTGACTTCTAGGGCACTTAATCTGCTTCTTCTATTTAAATAAAGCTCCCCTACAAAAATCTACAGCACCCCAAAAGAGAAAAAAGCCCTATTCTTCTTTGTGAGTTACCTGAAGTGGGAAATGCAAGCATTGAGAGTTTAAGATAGCAGTATATTTATTATCATTATTCTCAGTAATTTGCTTATTTATTTGCATAGTTGATGTAACAAATTTGGTACTTCAATCGCTCATTACCCATTCTTCAAGCTGCTCAAATTAAAAATTTTAAATGCTACAGCTAAAATATTATAAATCAAGCATCAGAATCCTTGTGGCATGCATATTTTCCCAGTGGATTGAGCAACAGCAAAAGATTTCCTGGCAGTTTAACAAAGAGACCCTGCATCCTAGGCAGTGTGCACTGGATTCTGGTTGTCTGGGGAGGAAGAGAAGAAAACAGGCTGGATGCAAAAATCCTTGTACATCAAGAATCGGGGAGTATCCATTTTTAAAGCCCAAAGTGAGTGATTTCTCCCAGATTCAAGATTTAGTTTCCTTTCCTTAGACATTTTAATTTCCCACTGTAACAAAAAAAATCTCTTTTCATTTCTTGTAAAAATGAGGCAAGTGGGATGTGCATGTGTGGAAAGGCACAGCACCATTATCTACAAGATGACAGGAAAGGTAGAGGGGCTTCCACCAAATGAGATCAGCACCAGTTGCTGCCTGATTCAGTTTCTATCAGGATGATTTTCACACTTCTAAAAAAATGCATCTTTCTAAAAACATCATGAATAATGGATTGAGATTTCTGAAATTCCCTTGCTTTCCCTCCACAATTTAAATCAAGTTCTTTCAAAGCCAACATACTGCATGTTGATTGAAGCCAGGCAAGGTTATAAATAGCAAAGGTTGAAAATTTTTCACAAAAGTAAGTAGTTGAAGAAAAACTACTCACACCATACACAGGGTGGGATGTGCTCATCATGAGCCCTGTCCTTTGTCACCACACTATTGTCTTGAAGGAGTACAATAAACCAATGGTCATGACACATCGTGCATGCTTCCAAATTCAACTCTCTGCATATGTTTCTATCTTCCCCCAAATGGGAGACATGTTGTATTTTCTCAAGTCAAACTTGGTGCAGGGAAGCTGTGTGTAACTTATATGCTAAATACAGCCTTACTCTCAACATTGTTTACATGCTGTTTGCTCTGTATACAGTATGAGATGGAAGCTCATATCTGTGAACTGTTGGCTGAGTGGCAAGTTCCAAGCTGGAGAATTTTACCCCTTGCTTTCAAATGTATGCAAGTTTCATTTGAAATTGTCACCAATGAGCTGAATCTAGAGTTAAATGTGTCAGAAACCCATGGTCTCTGAAGTGATGTGCATTCCTATAAGAATGAGGGGGACACGAGGCAGAAGCAAGGGAAACGGGTTCTTCGTGGACAAGGTGCCAAAAATTTAGAAAAGTACTATTTGCATAGTGTTTCAGAATCTCCAAAATACTCTCAGAAACCTTGTGTTAGATTACCCATTTCTTGCAGAGTTCCAAATAACTTCCATCCAATAAGTATTTATTGATCAACTAGCATGTTCCCGGTGCTGGTATACAGGGGAAAAAAGAACAATTATCAAGGTCCTTGCTCCCACAGAACTCAGAGTTGAGAAGGAGAGACAGACAATAGCCACAAAACAGACATACATCATCAGGATAGTGAGAGACACCAGAAAGAAAACCCAACCGGGGAAAGTGTTAGAGGGAGACAGAAGTAGGAAAGCTTCTTTTCACAGTGACATTTGAGCTGAGAACTGAAAGAAGTGAGCAGCAGGGCTGGGGTGAGCAGTCTGAGGAAAGGACCTATCAAGAGGAGGAAGTGTAAGTTTAGCAGTCCTGTAGCAGGAATGTGCCTGGTGTGTTCTGTACACAGAAAGAAGGCCACCATTGCTGAACTGAGGCAGAGAATGGTCAGAGAATGCTGGAGTGGTGTCGAGGGAATACCCACGAGGGTGCAAAGGAGGAGAAGGAGGAAGTCAGACTCATATTTGTTAAGTGATTACAATGGAGTAATTGTGGGACTGGGACTCGAACCAGGTTCTCTGATGACCAACCCTGTCTACCTTGTGCTACTTCATGTTGCCTTGCCCTCTCCCTGTCGTCTGGAGTCAGCTTTGGCTTTCCTCGATGGGAACAGGGAACACAGGAGGACGAGTGACATTCTATGTCTTACATTGGGTTCTATTTACCTAACAACCTATCTCCTAAGTGATTCTTGCATGATGTTCACCTTTTGCCTGAATTTTAAAAAGCTGTAATCCCCAATACTCAGAACATTGCCTTGGCTTCCTGTCCTTAATGGTGTCGGACTGAAGAATCAGCTGACTGGCTGTACACCTTGGGGTAAAAGCCAGCACTGCAGATAGAATACAATTATTAGAGGAAACTGAAAATAAAAAGATAAAAACACATTTTTATGTTTTTATTTATATTTCACTCCATTTGGAAATTAATCCAAATGGTCTTGTTCAGTGTTGCAAGGAGAATGAAAAAAATCTGTCCCCTTCCCCCTTTCTTTCAGCAAGTTTGAATGCTCTCTTTCTCTCACTGCTTCTACATGAACCAAAATTGCTTTAGAAACCTGTCATACTGAATTAGCACAAGCAGATAGTAATTCAGAGGGGTGCCAAGATAGCATTGTTGAAAATTGCTGGTTGGAAGGCTTCCTATAGCACTATTCAGGGGCTCTAACTCACTTTCATCTCCATGAGTCAGTATGAGCAAGGGATGGAATTTCCGTGGGTTTTGATTAAACATCTTTAAAAGCTGCTTATACAAATGAGAGGGTCTGCACTGTGAATGTTCCAGGAAACAGAATCCATATTCATCAGCAACAGGGAGGAACCAGCACAGAGCCTTGGGTCAGCCCCATCTTAGAATGGACCATAACCAGAAACACAGACTTGGACTGTGTTGGCTCAACAGAACAGTCAGGTTTCAGAAGACCCTTGATCTTGATATTAAGGAGAATTCAAAAGGCTAGGAGAATTAAGAATAAATAGCAGAGACACGGAAAACAAAACACTCTTCCTCCTGATTCCATCAAAAAACCTGCTCATGATTGTCCTCTGTCATGTTACCTTCAAAATTTGTTTTTCCTTTATAAGAAAAAACGTTTGACAATGTTTGAAATTTCTGCACTCATTCAATTACTTGTATGGCTACTTTCTGTACTTCACACTCCAGAATGTAACCTCTGTGAGAAGTAGGATTTGATCCATTTAACCACCAGCCCCAAGGACCAATGGCTATAGTATAATAGGCACTCAAGAAGTATTTATTGAAGAAATTTCAAATTCCCACAAAAATCACATATATCTCATTGGAGGCCATTCTGTGTGTAGTAGCATTGTTGGATTGGCTGTTACATTAAAGTCTATGAGAGCTAGAATCCAGGCAATCACCATGAACTATCCTCAACAGTGCTTACCAGAGCCTGTGTTTATGTTTCATGGCAGGAATCCTGTCTCTGGATTGCTGTAAAGCAATTGCAGGTCTCTGCACAATGCAGACATGCTCCTTTGTAGGATCAAGAAAAATTCTATCCATCTTTTCAGCACCTGTTCTTTGGCCTAAAGGATAAAAAAATTATATTTATCTCAAACTCACCTAACTAAAAAATCTAATATTTTTCTCCAACTTTATTTTTAAGATATGTAAATCTTAGCTTACAGAAATATTACAATAATTACAAGATGAACACTCTGAAATTGGCTAACTGTTCCTATTCTGTTGTGTCTGCTTTCTTTCTACATGTATATGAGTATGCAAGAATGTATGAGTCTGTGTATGTGTGTATGTCCATGCATATGCATGTATGTGTATGTGTTTGCAGATCTATGTTTGTATATAGAGGCATATGTGTGCATGTGTATGTATTATCTACACATATATGTATATATGGGCATGATATGTGTGACAGTATATTTTGGCTAAACTATTTGAATAACAGTTGTAAACACTGCTGCACTTCATCCTCAAATACTCATGCGTGAATCTCCTAAGGCCAAGAACATTATCTCACACTGAAATTATCACACATAGGAAATCTAAAATTTATAACTATCTTATGTTCTAATAAGCAGTTCATTTCCTTCAATGTTCCAAAATTGGTTTTATCGTTTTTTGTTTTTATCTAGGTCCATCAAGGATCACACATTATATTTAGTTGACATGCTTTTTTAGTCTTTAATTTAGAATGGTTCCCAAGTCCTGCTTTTCTTTCTTTTCTTTTATGACATTGACATTTTCTGCAGAGTCCAGTGCCAGTTGTTTTACATAATTTCTTCTCATTTTAATTTGCCTGCTTGTTTCCCTTAATTACATCAAGGTTAAAGTCTAACATTCTAAGTACTAAACATAACCAATGTGAAGTAGACATGAAATAACTCAGGTACCCAAAAGGGCTTTTTAGGCTGGATTATCAAACCAATAAAAAATAAAAATACTTCTGACAGTGTCACATGTTACCTGATAAGGTGGTCTCTTCTGCATTTGTTGAAACAAAAGCCTCATAGCATGAGTGAGTTAATGCCTCACACATGTCAGTCCTTCAATACTATCTTCAAGATTTTTGCTACATCAAGTTCTATCTGTATTTAGTACTCATGCAATCTATTTCTTTAAGTCAATTATTGAAACTTTCTTTTCCTAAAAATAATATCTTTATAAATGGTTTTACTGTGCTTACTATATTTTTCTAATACTTATCAAAATATGTATAAATACAAAAATTGTACATATCTGAAGCCACCTCGCCTACCAAAATGATGTGCTTTGGGGAGCACCAAGCAGACTATGGTCACATTTTGGGGGGGGTGCACGTGCATCATGTGAAGATGTGTCTGCTCAGACTTAGCTGGCAAAAAAGGCCTTCTCAAGAAATGTGGAAAAAGGAACGTGCCAAGGTTGCCATGCCAAACTGAGAACAACATCTAAACAAATACCAAGACCCGCAACTCCTGAGACACAGGGCTGCTATTTATATTTCTCTGACATCACATTATTTCCTCATTCATTTCCAAGTTACTCCATGGACAAGATGGAAAAGAGGCTCAGGAAATGCTACTCAGGCAAACTGTGACGGTGATGGAATCCCTGTGTCCTCCAGATCTTTCTATGTGGCCTGTCACAGGATTCCTCCACATTTCACAAACAAGAAGCCTAAGCCAAGAGACCCTTGGTGTATTGTCCAAGATCACACAGCTAGTGAGAAGACACTAACAGCTATATCCCTGACTCCCGATGCCCAGGCCAGCTCCTTTCTTCACACAAAGCTCAGCCCTGAACTGATGAAGTCACTCATAGATGAAACCATAAATGTAGCTAGGACATGTGACTGTGTGTGTAGTTTTAAACATATGTGCAAAACCACACAGCATACACATACACATATGGTATATGTATAACATGTAGACATATATGTATATAAAAACACATAACCATTCTGGCTTCCCAAGTCCCTCCCACATGCTCTTAAAACCCAGATGTGTCAATTCAAAGGAGAAGGGTATCCTACTGCAAATCTCACATCTGTGCTGCTCAACCAGGCAACCTTTTTTCCACATCTCTGCTCATGTGCACCATACTACCTGAGCCAGGCCTCACTTGAATGCTTCTACTAACTCTGCCCATCCTAACTCCTGCCTATCTGTGATCATGCTATTAAAAAGCCAGTCATTGTTCCAGGGCTAGACTTCCCCTTTCCTTTCCAATTCAGGTCAAAGTTGCCGAAGCAGGACACCTCCCTGGCTCACGGAAGGTTGAGACACACTCCACACCTGCACTAACAACTAGCACGTATCCAGCTTTCCATTGGTCAGGGTGTTTTCTGAGACTCTTCCCCCTCCCCCATCTCATGTCCTATTGGTTACCAAATTCTTGATCTTTTATCTTGTTGGTTTCCCTCCCATTCATCTTCTTCCCTGTGAATACTCCCTGGGGTGTGCCTGCATCTTTCTGGTACCCCTGCCAAAGTGCCTATCTGCTATGCCACCTCCACACAACATCAGCAGCTCTGAAAGGAGAAATCAGGACTCCAGGAGGTCCCCAGACCCTCTCAGGGGTTTCTGACAATGAGATCATTTCCACAATGTTATTGAGATGTGACTGACCTTTTCTATTCCTGTTCTCTCACAAGCATACAGTGGAGTTTCCCAACATGGAATGTAAAACAGAGTGCATGCAGAAGCAGATCTAAGAGTCCAACTGTCTTCTACTATGCCAGGCATAAAAGAAATGTGCAGAAATGTACCACAATCATATCTATCTTTGCAGTATATTATTTTTTGAAAATATACTTTCACAAAAAAGTGTTTTAAGTTAACATGTATTAAGTTTGTTATTGTTATTTTTAATGAGTTTTTAAGCAGTTTTACATTAATGAATTTTAATTTCTATTATGATTAATATGGATACACTCAGCATACATAAGCAAAACATTTAGGGATCCTCTAATTGTTGAGTGTCTAAGAGATTTCTGACACTAAAAAAGTTTGAGAACCACTCCTCATACGGGTATCTGAGTGATTTTTTAAGAGAACACACATTTTATGAAGTTGTTGCTCCATTTATCCACTGATATGCAGAGAATACTATCCAAAATATTTAACAGAGCCCTCAAGGCCACTCACTGCAGGTTTGCCTCTTTACAGTGAGCAACAGTTTTACTGCCTCACTCCTCTCCCCAGCACGCTCTGTGCTCCATTGATCCACCTCCAGCATAGGTCTCTAAGCCAACTGCAGTGGTTCTGTATTGTGCGTACTTAGGTACGTGGACATGTTTCCCAGAATTCTATTCCTGTGGAGTTCTACTTGAGAGAAATCTGCCTGAGGTGTGGAAACACTAACACTGATGTGTGGGCTTGCCTTGTTGCTGAGGGCAAAGGTGGACCCATATCTCAGCTCCCATTGTGTCTCTACCCTCATATTCTGAGTTTTTGTGTAACTCCAGCTCAAATGGCTCCTATTTCTTTACACCACCTGAGCTGCTGGAGCACAGGTCCAAGTTCATGGCCACAGATTCTAGGTTGCCCTGGATGGCTTCTTATCAGGTTGTGTGATGTCTTCCCTTCTGATCCCTTCTACCCTAGAGCAACTTCAGGTCCACCACCAGCAGTACAGACCATAACCTCTGGGGATCTCTCACAGCTCCCTAATGTTCCTCCACCTGGGCCCTGCCAGACTTTTGCATTCTGAGCATCCCATACAAATGTGGAGTGTACAATTCAGCAATAAATTCATCATTCCATTGTCATTTGTTGGGGTCTGCTTCCCTGCTCACACCTTGATTCATATTAAGTCTGATGTTCTTTTCTGACTGTCTGGCAGAACACCAATTTTATCCTTCCCATATCAACTCAGAGCACCCACAGCCACTCTTAATGCATTTTACCAACTCACAATCCAACTGAATATGACGCTCATCTTCCTCACTACACCCAGCATCCTATGCGGCATAGCACTTGCAATACTAGATGAGCTCAGTTTTCCACTGGACTTTCTCTCCTTTCTAGGTCTGCATGTTCTCTGAGATCAGACACAAGGGCTCACAAACCCTGTTTATATATCCCTTATCTCATTGTTAAATGACCTGAACAGAAAGAAGGCAGAATATGACATTGTGGATTTCTAAATGTTAGGAATGGGGAAGAAAGATGAATGAGAAATGATGGGATAAAGAATTTCAGCCTGGCATGGTAGCACATGCCTCTAATCCCAGGAGTAGGGGACTGAGGCAGAAGGATCTGAAGTTTGAGGCCAGCCTGGTCTACATAGCAGGACTTTATCTCCAAAGCTGGGATCATGCATAAAGCAATGGTGGGTTTTGTTTTTGTTTTGGTTTTTTGTTTTTTACTTCATTACACTTCTGAACTACTTAGGGATTTTGTCCGAAATGCACATTCCTGATCCAATACTTTCAGGTATTCTGATTTAGAAGGCTTGGGGAAAGGCCTAGAGCTCCTGTTTAACAAGACACAGGGTACTCTCATGAGGGATTCCTATGCACACACCATTAGAACCACTGTCAAAAAGAATGAGAGGACAGATGCTTAAAGAAAGGGTTCTTAAATTCTTAAATCACTTAGAGGAAAGGGTTGTGGGGAGCAAGGGAGAATTTAAAAATTCATGTTTTGGGGAACCAGTCAAAATTAGGAGCAGAGTTTCCTGTTTTCACCTAAGCATCTGACCTGGAATAGGAGCACAGCTTCCAGTCTTAATCTAGGAATCTCACTTGGAGTAGGAGTACTCCTGCCTTCACCCAGGTATCTAACCTGAGACAGGAACACAGCTTCCTGCCTTCATCTAGACATCTGACCTGAGATAAAAGCATCGTTTTTAGGTTTTCATCTGCATATCTACACACCCCTCAAGCCTTCTGCTTACAAAGCAGAGACCACAGGGTGCCCTGTATGTCAATAATGAATACATACTAACAAGGAAAGGCCCTTTTGGCAGGCCATAGGAAAGTACTCTAAAGAGTTAATGGAAGGTTTTGGTAAAATACTTGGTTAATAGGAAGACTGAAAGGATAACAGAAACTGAAATGACAAGCATGTCTCCAATCTTTTCAGAGAAGTTAAAGTCCTAAGGATCCCTCCCCAATTATTTCCCCACATAATTTAAACCTTTACTGTCATTAGCCACAGATGGTTGAGCTAGTTTGAATGAGGAGCTAATAATACTTAATTTTACTTTATTGTGATTAATCTAAATTTAAAAATCAGTGTTCAATTTCCCATTATTGGAAAATATTTAAATATGTTGGAAACAACTTGTATACATTAACATTTTCTTCAACTGTAAGTTTTATGAAACCTAAATAAAGACCAAATATTTCTAGTGATAATTCAGTGTCCAATGTATAAAGACTTGGTATGAATAAAATTCAGTAAATTGTATTTTGATTTTATGTTGAAATTTTTGCATATGCTGGGATAACATTTTGTTGAAATTAATTTTATCTTTTTCTTTTTACATATTTAATGTAGCTGTTGGAAGAAACATTAAACACATGAGTGGCAACTCTGCATTTCTATTGAACAGAGCAGTACAATTCAAGGCTGTACGGTGAGTATTGCTACCAAGTATTTTTGAAACAATTTTAGAACATTTCTTTAGAGAGGGAAATAAGTGTCCCTCTCTAGGTAGTCACTCCAGGAGACTATAAGCTGATTGTAAGGATACTATCACTTTGGAAATGCAATCCTATCTGGAGCTCATCTCTACCCAGCCCCAGCTGTGAAGGACCAGCCTACAAGGTAGCTGATGGATCTTATCTGAAAAGAAGTCTTTTGACTTTAAATCTCAGTCTGGTATCAAAATACCTTCATCACCGTCTACATTCTGTATCTTTACTTCAAATGACTTTGGCATATTCCAAACACTGACCCACCCCAAAAGACTTTCCCAAAGAACACTGAGTCTGGCAGTATAGCTCAGTGGTAGAATACTTAACAGCACACACAAGGTCATATTGGTTCAGTCCCCAGTATGAACCACGAAGCTTTAAAACAAGCTGATGAGAATAGTCAAAACATTTTTTCTCAAAGACAGCCCAACACTATTTTGAAGAAAGGAAACAGCAACTGTCTCCAATGAGACCAATTATGAAGCTATCTACATCTTTAGGCTGAATTCTGGCATGTTTGTTTAAACAATTACCAAGCAGAAAATGGCATTTCTTTAGAATCTTTAAGTCTCAGATGTCTGACATGGTTGTCATTGTCCATGTCATGAGGTAGAGAGATTCATACCTTGAGATAGATTTTTAATTAGGGATCATAGTTCCTTAAGTAACCATCACTAGAATGCAGGAGGATCTTTCCTGATTTCTTTTCCATTGAACTTGAACTGGAATTTAGCATTTCCTTCTATTTTAAAGGCAGGAGACAAGCTACATTACTACCATCAGTTCCTGTGGCATCACCAATACAAGTCACAACTTCTTTTTCATATGACAATGTAGTTGTTCAAGAAATCCCGAGATATCATTCATAAATACCATGACTTTAGAATCATGGTAGTTAATTCCTCCTGACTATAACCCTCATAACACATTGAGATAATAACTGGCCAGCTCCTCATCTGGTAGTCATCCAGCCCTGAGATCCAACTTCTCACCCTGTGACCTGGACACCTTCCTGTCTATAGTTGTTTTCATTGATTGATGAAGTCAATCATTTAAATTAGTTGCATTTAAATTGGACAGCTTAAATGAGAATTAATTCTTCATTAGCATTGTCCTCTGAAATCAGATGCATGTGAACTATAAATCTAACCCAAGAAAATTCAAACACATCCATCTGATGGTGAAGCAAACCACTGAGGTGTGTTATTTAAGGTAATGTTTTTATTACTGATGATATATTAAGCAATATCATAGGTCATGCAGAATGTTGTAAGATCAGCGTGCTTTGTATTATTTTGCTCTTTGTAATCCTATGTACTTTATCTTTTACATTTAAAAATACTCTTCTGAAAAAGTGTACACTGACTCCAACAGACTGCCAAAAGAACCTATAACAGGCACAATGCTAAAAATCCCTGCTCATCACACTTTATGACTAACCCAGGACCCTCAATGTCCATGTACTGCTACTGGAGAAGCTTGTCAAACCCATATGTAAACCCTGCCCACAGTCATACTCAGGCTCCTCACTGTACTGACAATCTAGTAGAAAGGAGATTTTGCCATTGCTGTCAGCACAATGAAAAGTAGAGGAAAGTTAAAGCAACATGACTTTTTAAAGAAATAATGGTGTACAGTTTTACCTGAAGAAGACTTAAAGGCTGATGGCAACTTTCAGGTTGGGAAGCAAACAGTAATTTCCTAGTAATTCAATAAATTACCACCAATTTTTCTAGGAACCAGTTGGCTCCTCAACCCCCAATAGGAAAAGTGTATCATCTTACCTGTTATTACTGAAACCATTCCCTCAGTTACTGGAGTACAGTATGAATGCCTAGTTAGAAACATGGCAACACTCTCCAATTAAAAAGAAAGTTACATGTGTTTATGCAGTAAAGCCAGGCTAGGGAGAAGAAAGTGGCACATATTGGAGGCTCATACTTTTTAGCACTGTTGCCCAACAGTTAAAAACACCACTGGCATAAAAGCAGCACTATTGCTTTTAGCAATCTTGCTCTTTTTTTCTTAAACACCAAAAAATGAGATTCAGCCCACCATTTAATAATGTCAATACATTTTCGTCATTACACAACTGGCATGCCAACTGTTACCTAAGCACTTCCGACGCTTCAAACCCACGCCCACATGTTCTGAACTCATCTGCATCCAGAAAGAATAAAGATAAATCACAAACTGAGGAACTCTCTTCTCCATTCTCAAGAAGCAAAAGCCATGAAGAGAGCTCCCAGTAGTGTCTGAGGCATTTCTTAGAATAAGAATGAATTCTAAAGCCACATTTTGTCAGGAAAATCCCACTCTTCTATGCCAGCCTGCCCATTGTGGCTTTCACATTAAGAAGAACCTCAAAAGTCCTGACCAATAACAAGACTCTATGATTTTTGTAGAAAAGAAGAGCTTTGTTTGTTCTTTTACTAAACTCAAGTTAATTAGGTTTGGCCAGTTGGCATCTAAACTCAGAATCTCTTTATTGAAAATAATTCTAGAAGTCCTGATGAAACTGTAAATGCTTAGAGACACTCACTTGCTTGCATGCTGGGTAAATAGGAATGCACACTGGCTGTATTTATTTTACTATCATTATGTCTCCATGGGGTGAGTGAGCCACTAAGAAAGTACAGGCTGTTGTACTTATTCATATATATATATGTGTGTGTGTGTGTGTGTATATATATATATATCCCTAAAATAATTTGCTTTTCTTTTATCTCAAACTATGATTTCATGATTATAGGAAGTCTTCAACATTGGAATAAATTGTTTCCAAACTATCCAAATTGTATGTTTCTCATTTCTTTTCTCCAAATTCAAAGCCCCCTAGGTCCTCAGGACAGAGGTGGCATAAGATCTATAGTGGAGTCCCACAGGTGTGCTTTTATAAGATGGCTATCCCTACATTAAGGCCTGCCTGCTTCTTTGCAACTCTTTATGGCCACATCCAATCAGGCAGCACAAAATAAAGACAACACCACGGTTTAAGGAATGATCTTAAGTCTGAAATTTTCAGAGCTGCATTTACAAACTGCTCTCAACAAGGCCCAGTGCAGCAGACTGGCAGCACACCTACCTCTTGTCTGTACAGAAGCCAAAGTCCACCAAGCTCATTCCTTTTACCAGAAATAATTTGACTTTGTAGCATTTGATAAAAGCCTTCATGATCAGAACCAGTCTGGAATGGAAGGGAATCAAGAGGGGAATTACACAAATGCAAGCGCAGATTTGACACAAGGCTAACACTTGGTCCTTTACAGACAATCCTTCCTCCATCTCTAAGGAACAATCAGCACAGACCATGGAGCGCAGCTTTTCCCTGGTGCCCTGAATCCTTACAGAATCAATCATTAACTCTTAGCTGGATTTCTGACGTGCTGACTTCCAAAATGGAATGTCAAACACACCTACTTTTCTCTCCCCCATCTATTGTTAAAATTAATGAGGCACGTGAGGACATTTTAGGTATCTTTGGGTGACTTAAACTGTGCTGGGGCTGTACTATGTGGCTTTGCCACAGCACACCATGGCCTACAGATAACACCAGCCCTTGTCAAGCTCTTTGCAAGAGCTTTTATTCTCACAGTAAGGTACAGAGGACAAGAAATATGATAGACATGTGGCAGAACACTGAGACTCAGAGAGTTAAGGGACCCTAGCCTGTGGTCACACAGTTAATGACAGAATCACATTTCAAATTAGGAATTTGATTGCATATCTTAGCATTTTTAAACAAGCTTTGGAACCTAGAACTCTATTCTTCTGTAGGAGGCTGAATATAGCCTGCAGATGTGTTATGTTGTTGCTATTATTGTTTTATTTTGTTTTGATTTTATGAATCCTACCATTAAACATCAGGAGCTTCCACATAAAATCTAGACTTCTGATTTTTTATTTTTTTGGAAAAGCCAATGCTCAGACCTACACTGAGGCAGGCAACAGAAAAAAAAAAGAAAAAGACAAACACTAAAAGACAGTTGCAGTTTACTTCCTGGAGACTTGCTATAACTGAAAGCTGACCAAATACCTATTCTCCCTGTGGGATCACAGGTTCATGTTCACACATCCTAACAACCATTCCTCTGGTCCCTTTCCTTTTTGTCTTGCCAGTTTGGTGGTACATGTGACTATCTTTCAGGATACAGTTCACATGCCACTGGCTCCCTGAAGTCAGTTTTGAAAACCCTGGAATAATGAACCAGACTTCATTCAGAGCTCTCAAACATTTTCTTGTTCTTATTTTGATAACTTCTTTTCATACCTGCATATTCAGGGCTGGGCACACAGTAAGTGATCAGTAACGATTTGCTCAATACTAATATCAATGACAAGTAATATTTATCATATACCAGGCACAGTTAAAAGCACATTATACATGTTCATTAATTTACACATTCCAACTTCCTATTACTATACTCATTTCACCTAGAGAAAACTGAGCCATATTAAGGTTAGGAAATTTTCCCACACTTACTTAGCTACTAAATGGCAGAAGAGGAATTATAGCTTAGTCTGGTACCTCTGGGTAGATGGCTTGGTGGAAAATTGATAGAAAGAAGGGAAAAAGAGAAAAGAAAGAGATCAGGAGGGAGAGGTAAACTGTCAGGAACAGGATGACAAACTCCTTAAGTTGCAAAGACTTCAAGTCATTTGGTAGGGCAGGGATGTGGTGTGGGTGGAAATTTTACAACTAGATTTCTGGGGGGAAACCCTGTTTTTCAGTGTCTGTGATGTAAATACTCTTACTATGGCTGATTTCAGTTTATCAGGATAGAGCTAGAGAAAGGAAATAGGGCCAATAGCAATTTGGAACCAATACCAACTCAGTAGGACTTACAGGATTACAAAGAAAATGACAGTGAAGAAGCAGGAAGAAATCAGGCAATTGAGACCACACTAAGGATGATCTGACTTAAAGGCTTTGAGTAGAGAGTGATATGGTCGTATGGCTTGACAGAGTTGACTACAAGATGAGAACACAGTTACCTTTTAGGACATCAACCCCCCTCCCTTTATCTTCTCTACAACCTGCCTGCATGACAGTTATCCATCATTCTACCCTTTTCTTACCTGGCCCCTTTACCAGTCAGCTCTCCTTCCCTTTTTAACCCTCTAACCTCATCCTCTTATTCTAGGGTCTCAGAAGTACTCCAAATATCACTGATCCTCAGGATCATACAGTGTCCATCTACCATTGTTAGATCTGTGCCATTTAAGGGCTAAAATGCATAAGCAAACACGTAAGTCTGTACCAGCATAAACAGGAAAGCCATCATACAAAATATAAATCAAACAGTGCTGGATACATCCTTGACCTTGCAGATCATACAGCTGGTAGGGGCTTTTGAAAACATTTAGTCCTCAATCATCTTCTCTCACTGGGAAAGTAGAGCTTGGGCAATGGATATAACCAGCCCACTACTGGATTAGAGTAAACACTAAACCAGGTTACTTGATGGCCAGGCCAGTCAAGTAGTCTATACACATATAACAAAGATGTTTTCTGAGCTGTTGCCTCCTCCTGCTAAGTCAAAGCGTTTCTGAGGAGAGTGTTTTCTACTAAGCAAGTTCTATTTCACCGTTAGAACAGATAAAAACATGCTGATCTCAAGAGCAGAGCCATTTTGTCATCTCCCCCAAAATGGGACAATGAGAGCCATCTGTTAGGAAACATCCCATGACCATGTTTCCTCTCCATCATTCAGTTTAAGAATCCTTCAGGTCCTGCACTTTTCCCCTGGGTCTCTACCCACCTGCTTGCACCCAGACCATTTCCTGATAGCTAGGAAGTGGGCAGGAAAAGGAAGTAAACCATTCAGAACCATTGTAGAAGCTCAGCTGAAAAGAAAAAAATGCTGGAGGGGAAGTTACAATTTTTGACTGGAATATAATGTAGCCTGATAATTCTCCCTCACTCAAGGTGATATTGGCCAATGCTACAGGGATCCTAGCCAAGGGTGCCACTGGGAACTAAAATGCAAGCCAATGCTTATTCACCCAGGTTCCACAAGGCTACTTGCTGCTCATGGGAAGTCCACTTTTCAGTTCTTACAAAGGCATTCCATAGCCTGGAGGTGGCCCTCACATGGGACCTTCTTTCAGCTAAAAGTCATCTGTACTTCCCAAGCCCTTGATCTCTATGAATTGGGCAGATAAAGTCAATTCCTTGGTGCAGAGAAGTGAAAATTGGTCTAGGAAGGAAGTACCCTGATAGTTAAAGCAGCTAGGAGGACCCTATATTATAATTTGCCCAGGCTCATCCCCAATTACACTTGCTGCCTTGGAGGGAATAACTAAGGCCCCTTTAATTTTCCAAAGTGTTCCTGTGGTAAGTGACAAAATATTTGGTCACCCAGTCTAGAGCTCTTGTGGTTGTAAGACTTCCAAGGCATAATCTAAGACATCCATCCACAAGCTCGAATGGAAAAAAAAGTCAAAACGTTTTTCATTAGCCTTAAATAGCAATGAGGCATTTCCTTCTGTTAAGAGTGCCAGCCATAGATCTCAAAGGCAGTAGCAGAACCAATGGTTTCATCGCCAATATAAATCAAATGTTTTCAAATCTCAATATAGTTGCTACAGTTATGCATGTAGGCTCATCCCTACTTTAAAATTATGGGAGTCATTAGCCCCATCACTAGAGTTTGTGGTACATGCATGCTATAAGAGTTACATACATTAGTAACAATGGTTTCTTTTATAACTAGATATTACCAAAATTTGTTTGATTATAATTATAATCTTATGGGTTATATTTTATATATTTAACACACAAATATTTTTTGTATTGTATTTATGTGTAATTCTGGGGTCCCTAGGCTTCACCAGATTGCCAAATGGCACCAAGGGCAAATAACAGTCAGAGCCCTGGGGCTGGTGATTGAGAAGGTACATTAATGAGGTGTTCTGGGATATGAGAAAGAGGCCAGGCCCTCTGGCTGAGAAGCTAGTCTGCTTGGAGTTGAGCTGGACAATTAGGAATTATTTAGTAATTCTCTTTACTTGCATATTATTTCTTTTTCAGGTTTATTATTCCCATTCTCTTTCTTTGCCTCCCCTTGTTCTTTTTTTTTTCCCCTTTGTCCTTAGATTTGGCAGTGCTATCAGCTATTTCTTAGTCTTCTTGTGCAAATTGCTGGGCTTTCTTCCTTTGAATGGTTACAATTCTCTTATGACCACTCTTACTCCTCCTCTCTCTTACCAACTCTCCTCTGCTGCTTTTCTGCTGCCTCTTGCTTGGCTTTCCTGATCTGACTGGCCACAGGCCATCTCTCCTTCATAGGTTCTGTAGCAGAATTTTTGGGCACTGATAGTTTACACTACACTTTCCATTTTGGAATAATATTCATCATATTTATAGGAGGTATTTCTGAAACACAATTGGAAAAACAGACTTTATACCCCAATAAATGACCACATAATATTCCATAACAGGAGGATAACACTGACACCCCGAGCATAAATATACTTTGTAAAAAGAGTGGAAAGTATCTTTCTTGATAATCCCTGAATAATTATCCCTGATAATCCTCATGTCCAGAGGATATCAGCAGGCTAAACCAGGACTTCTGAGTATACAGGGTCCACTGTAACACAAAGCAGTATACTGCTTAGTCACTACTAACAAGGAAGCCCTCATAAACAGGTCTGGACAATGACTGCTTCTCCAAATCAGAGCTGGAAAATAAGAAGACTGGGGGAGAGCCAATAAAGGACCTCATGAACTTGGTGCCTTCCTGTTGGACAAGTATACAAGTGCACTGGATCTTTAGCCCTGCCCTCATTGGGGGAACTATCTGTCCTGAAAAGTAGTCTCTCCCAGGAAAGGTACTGAATACTTACTCTGTCAATGACCTAAAAAAGGAAGAAAGAAAGAAGGGGAGGGAGGTATAAGGAAATAGAAGGAAAGAAGGAAGGTAGGAGGAAAGTGAAGAGGGAAAAATTGGAAATTAACCTATATTTGAAAACATATTACTTTGTCATACTTTGTTAAGAATGGCTGGATGTATTTTTGATATTTGTTTCAAATTTTGTCCTGATAAAAGGTACTAAAACACTTTTAGAAAAACTGCCTGAAAATATGGTGATATTTACCTTGGACAAGTATCAATATAAAATATAGTTTAGAGAGCTCAGGATAAAATGAAATCACAAATTTCATAACCTTTCCTAATCTGTTCATTTATCTTCTTAAAGAATAAAACTTTTCTTATTGGGAATGGTTCTTATTTCTGTATTTATTCATTCATTTTTAGAGAATTATATGGCCCTTACATTACCTTACCCCTTTGGGGAAGACTATCAGCTCCTGAAAAGATTCCATATTCCATTCTCACATGAGATGGCCATTTCATAGGCTGCTGAGATGTGTTAAGTCGCTATGTTTTTACAAAGTGTATGGAAGAATATACTCTTATTTCATATATAAGCACTTCCATCCTGATTCTAACCATTTGTCAAACAAAGCTCAAAGTTATAATCTAAAGATAAAATAAATATTGTACTAAGTGTATCAGTCATATAGATTATTCAAAGCTAAATGTGGAAAGCCAGGTGGAACAACACACACACACCCCTATAAGCCCAGCACTCAGGAGGCTGAAATAGGAGAATGGTGAGTTTGAGGTCAGCCAGAGATACAAAGAGAGATCCTGCTTCAAAAATGAAACAAAACAAAAAATTCTAAATATGGATTAAGGTATTATATATTTATTTAAAATAAAATCCATGAGGGCAAAGCTTCTTATGTTCTTCATTGTCTTGTTTTTTTCTTTGTAGTTTGCAACATTTTCTTCAAACTCTTTCCACAGAATCTTATTATTCGGTTTTGCTTGTTATGAAATATTCAGTATAGGTCAGATGCTCTGGATCTCAATTGTGTTTGATTTTTAAATATCCAACCCAGAATGAAAATTGTAACTTAAGAGTATATGTACATAAACTTATTCATTCAATGTGCTCTAAATAAAACATTTTCATTTTCCATGTTGCTCGATATTACTTGTCATTCTGAAAGTCAACAAACTAATATTTATACGACTTAAAACAAATACACGTGAGAGAATTGTGCCATAGAGGTGCCATGTGAGCCATTGATCTCACACCACACAGGAGCCACAGGAAAATAAGAGTGAGGTGGTGGCCACGTGAGTAGTGCTAATGCCCCACCTCCCCTGAAAAGCTCAAAACTGGAAACCAGGGTGCAGGGTCAGGTTCAGATGGACCCATTTCTCCACACTTGGTCACACTAGATTTCAAGCTTTATCTTTTTTCTTAGCTCCTGTAATCTAAGTAAATTTATGTCCCCACCTTCAGCTAGTTTCCCTTTTGGGGTGATAGGATGTTTAATAATTCTCCATGAAGAGTGTGGTAGATGTGCAAAACTTTTTTCCTACTTACATAAGAAATAAGATTCATTTCTAATGAATTCTCTAGAAAGAGAATGCCTCCCCTTGAGAAATTGGCAGTTCTGGGATTCTGATCAGCAGAGGGTGAGGAAGAGGGGGGAAGAAGGGAAAGAGGAGCAAATCCTGGAGTGTGCCCACTTGCTACAGGTATTTGTGTCACAACAGGACTCCACACCAGCCAGCCTCATCTCCTCACAGAACACGGTTCCCACCTTTTCTTTCTCCATCTCAGTTACTGCCCAGGACCTCTGACTTGGTGTGCATTAGGGATGGAAATCCTGTTCCAGGTGTCATGAAAGCCACCAAGTTTCTACTGTTTGCTTATCACTCTTGCCTTCTTGATATGAATCTGAAGCACGGATTTTCCCCATTCCCTGGCTTGTTTCCTCCAATTGACTTTTTCTTGGTTTGCCTCCAAGAGGAGGACAACTCTGGTACCATGACTTCATAGAAAAGACATGGGGTGTGCCTAGAAACCAGAATTCTATCCTACAAGAATGCTTAGAGATGTATGAAATCCCTAAGTGGCTGGAGAAAGAGCCCTCTGTGGAAGGGGCTCAGTGGGTGAGCAAATGGTGAGAAACATTTTTCCCATTTCTGAATCCCAGGTATGCCCACTAAGAATACTCTGTTTTATTTGAGAATTACACCCGTACAAAAGCTTACCTGAAAGGCCAGAGATCCAGGAGAAATCATACCAACATATTTCATAGCATCAAAAACATTTTCCCCCTGATATGCTACGTTTTTTCATATTTTCATAAATACTTGTGAGTAGGGCAGGTCAGAACTACTCAAGCTGATAGAAAGACTTTGCTGAAATTGTTGGTAATCCATTTACCAACAATTAAAACAATTAAAAGATAGCATGGTTGGTTAACTTCTGTTGATTTGAAGGCTTATAAATATTATACTGCAATCTTTTGCAAAACAGGCACATTTGTGGTGGCTTGTCCATTATATGATACTGATTTTTTCTGCTGATGGTGATTGAGAAGCATTTATGAAAAAAAAAAACAATCTTCTTCAAACAAACAAGTCTTTTTTACCTAATTAATTTTAAGATTCTGTAAAAAAAAAAAAAGCAAAAGTGAACATAATCTATTATGTATAAGCATAGTTTGTTTAACCTAGGTTCAAAGAAACATAGCCCTGTAGATTTGTATCTTTCTTTCAAGTTCCCAAGGGACATGCTCTGATGTGTTTCTGTGAAGAGGCCAGGTGACAAGCATCAAGAAAGAAAGGGGCTGTGGGGTGTTAGAAACTCACTCCTGCGGGATGAGGGGTTGGGATGGGCTCCTACCTCAAGCATCCAGGTAATTCAGAAGTTGCATTCTGTCATCAGCCAGACCTGGCTTGCAAGGATGTGGCTTTTGCACTCAGGAGCTGTTCCAAGACCCTGGGTGCAGAGGGAAACCCCATGCAGGATCCTTGGGACTCTGGAGCTTTCCCTGGGCAAGGCAGAAAGCAAGGGGCTCCAGAATGGGAGTGACTGCCATCAGGATTCCTTCCTGGATCCCTGAGGAGTCCAAGTCTCTTCTGGAAGAATCTGATCAAAGGGTCCAGAAAATGGACTGCCTGAATTCTGCTTTGTCCCAGCTAGTACAGGAGAGCAGGAAGCAAGGTAGAGAAGGCTGTGCTCCTAGGAACCTGCACGTGAGAGGTCTGGCCGGGGAGGACCTGAGAACTGTACCCAGTCCTAGACCAACACAACCTCCAAATGCTTCCCCTATGCGGCATGTAGGAACCAGAGACAAGACTCAGCCAAGACACCTCTTGGAGAGGGGCGTGTACCTCTTCCAGGAGAGAAAGGTTAAGTGAAGTGCTTCCCAGCCTTAGCATCCAAGTGAGTTAGTTCCCCACCAGGAAAGGGGGAGGGCTTGGGTGCTAAAAAGGAAGAGGCTGCCCCTTCTGGGCAACAGCAAACTCAGTTCCATCCTGCTCCCGCAAATGGTCTTGCGCTAGGGATTGTTGGGGTGCAAAGGAGGAAAAAGCCTCGCCTTCCTGCATCCCACCAAAGCCTCTGGAACAAACAGAGAGATCTACCTGGGGCTGCAAGGTGGATGCACCCACCTGTGCCCGAGGTCCCGGGTCTGGAAGCTGGGTCTCGCCTCATCCGTTGCCCACACCCCCTTGCTCTGCGTTTCCCCACACGCCCTCCAGCTATGCTCCACTCCGATCCTCCCAGGCACAGCACACTGCTCCCCCACTCCCTTGCTCCGCCCAGGTGCAATTTGTGGAGCAGCAGCGGGGAGAAGGTGGCTCCCACTGCAGCCTCCGCCCCTGCACTCTCTACCAACCGGTTGGGACCCCTGCCTAGTTGCTGGGCCTGGAAACCCTATCCTCTGCCTCCACACACACCCTACTCCACACACACGCATGCCCCTAAGGGCCCACAGTCTCCTTCCCTAGGGCTGTGGAGATCGTCTTGACAGCCAAGTGCTGGCAGGGAAGGTGGGCGTGGGTCTACCCACCCCACTGCGGAGATGAAGGGGTATAGAAGCAAGAGGCTGCCAAAGAAGAGAGGGGGCTATGTTCCTCTTGGAGCCTGGGAAAGCATCCTTGGTCCATGGTCTGACCATTCAGTCACCACCCAAGATGCCAACGCATTCAGATTATAGCGGGGAGGATTGTTTGCTCATGGGGAGGTAGAAGGCAGAAGCCTGCCTTCGCAAATAGCCCGGGGCCCCGGAATTCCAAGGGTATATTCCACCTCTGCACCTTTCAGGTGCCCAGCCCCCCTCTGTATTTACACACCCGGGCCAGCGCCCTCCGGACTTTTTTCTCTCCTCCTCCTCCTCCTCCTCAAATGACCGCTCAGAGCTGTCCCCTCGCCTTCACTAGCAGAGACTTTCCATCCCCCTCCTCCGTCAGCAGATCTACCCCTACCCTCTGCTTCCTCCCGCACCCCCACCAGCAAGCTTTCTCTTCCCGAACCACTTACTTCACCCACCCAGATCTGCACTTGCAGTTCCCCAGGCGCACAACCGAAAGCCACTCCAACGGTTTTATTATCGAGTTGGGGGTGGCGCTCACACAAGTGGACTGACCCCCACCACTTTGGATAGAGCCCCAGGAGTGGCCCACAGCTTTCCCCCACGTCCCACCTCTCCTATTTCACCTTCTCTGTTCCTACCCAGCTTCTATAGGCAGGATGAGCACTGCTGGGTCCCCAACCCTCGCCTCGGGAACAGGAGCTGCGGGGAGTGAAAAGTCGACTGGTTCTAAGGACATACAGAGAGAAATGGGCAGATGCAATGGCAAGGGGAGCTGGGGGAAGGGCGCACGCGAGAACTAAACGTGCTACTTGCACCGCACGGGGATAAGCACCGCGCAGGCGGGGGTGGGGGGGTGTCATAAAAGTTTGCAGACTATTGCATGGCAGCGGCTGCACAGGAGCAAAGAGGGTGACACCCCTCGCCAAGCGGGGTCTCTCCAAGGGTCTGTGCCAATGGGACCAGGGCGATTAGACAGACAAGGCTCAGAACTGGAGCAATACTTCTCCCCTACTTATTCACAGAGGGACGGCCTAAACACCCGATCAGAGAGCTGATCCCGCGCTCTGCGAAAAGCAACAGGCGGCTGCACCTTACCTTGCGCCAGTCCCGGGCTGGGATGGCTGCTCCATCCTCGTGGCGCAGGGAGGAGGCGTTTGGTGCGTATGCCTAGGGGTGTGCGCGCTGCCAGGGCTGCAGCGGCCGCCACCTCCAACCCGCTGCAAGCTGGGCTGCCCACTCCTGCCCCGGCCGCCCGGCCAGGCTCTGCTCCCCTGCGACCACGGCGGCGGCGGCGTTGGTGCGCGGTGTCAGGGGCGCGCGGGACGCAGGCGGTGCGTGGCGTCTTTGGGCGCCGCCACCGAACGAGGGTGCGGCCCGGGCGGCAGCGTGGGGCACGACTGGGCTCTTGCTGATGCGGCGGCCGCTGCAGACCCTGCGCTGGGCGTCGGAACCTCGCAGGAGGAGGAGACAAAGACGCGAGAGAGGCAAAAAGCCACTCGCCCAAATGCAGCCGGCTGTGTCACCGGAGGGGAATCGCCTCCAAACCTGGGCAAGGGATGAAGGAGGAGGGGCGAGGCTGCTGAGGACTAGAAAAGCAGCCGGGAGCGAACGTGACCGAGCTCTGCTGTAGTCTAGCCAGCGCTGCTAGCTCGCCTTCGAGCTGGGGGTCCGGAATAGAGGGGGTGGGGGTGGGGGTGGGAGGCATGTTTGCTGCAGGAGGTAAGCGGGGAGGAAAATCAGTTCTCTCCGCTGCTCTCGGGTTCCTTCCTCACATTCCACTACACAGTTCCACTTGCTGGTGCTATGGCCCCATTCATTCTCCCGTTTTTCTAACTACTGAGACCAGAGCTAAATAAATTATGCTGACAGAAGCAAAACGTAGTAGTGGGTCGGTTGTCTTCAACTGGGGTGAGCAGGGATTTGTTTAAAGTCAGTTCAACAAATGATTGTCTATCGGGTGCCTAACACTGTACTAGGCTGTGGTACGGGAAGGTAAAATAGGACTCCCTCCCTCTCCTACCCCGTACCCTGCCCCAGACTCCAATGTCAGATCTCAGGATGAGTTGTTGAAGGCCAAATTTTATGAATTGAGCTGTGGCCCCCTAAATCCTGATCTCCAGTTTCCCTAAGAAAGTGTGTGTGTGTGTGTGTGTGTGTGTGTGTGTGTGTGTGTGTGTGTTAAAAAGAAGGGAGATTACTGGTTTCAGTGATGTTCTTATTTCATGATTTCAATTATTTATCATATCTGCACCAGAAACCAATTTAGGACAGAGGGACTTCATTCGCCAGCCTCAACAAATACCACCTTCTTTCCAAAGCGCTTCCCCACTCTCTAGCCCCTACCCCAGACAGAATTAATATTTCTATTCTCTTTTTTGTCATAGAGTTTCACTTGCCAACCGCTTATAGAACTTACATATTTATAGATTTCCATTACTTCACTCACCTATGAGTAACCCCTCTTTTTGTTCCCACTGCAACATCCAACAGTGTTTTGTATCTAATGAGTACTCAAGGAATAAGGAATACATATCCTGTTGAAGGTCATTTTCTCTTTCGAGAACAGATAAATCCCAGAGTCCCTAGAATTAAAGGGACTCCTGTGATGAAACCCTGAAGAATTCCTGAAGGAAGAGGAGACATGGTTGCATCCATACAGCCCCTTTGCAGGAAATGTAAATCTATTTTATTCATTTTTGTTTCTAGTTAATCTTCTCCCATTGACCACCTCAATTCTAGTTTCTGAATTCCCAAAGGCAAAAGAAAACCAAGCTGTGAGCAACTGCAGCGAGCAAGAGTTACACATTCAGCTGCCAACACCTAGAGCAAACCCATTCCAGGTGGAGAAGGACCAAAAAATCTTTATCATTTTGTGACCTGTGTCAAGTATGTTGAAAGCCAGCCAAAATTTCCTCATTTCCTATGAGGTTCTCTTATTTTGTATGCATTTTAGAATAAGTTAGGCAGTATTTGATTGCTGAAAGGTGAAGAAATGTGCCTGGTGGTTCAGGGATAGTTTAAATCATTGTGTTTTCTATCCCACCTCCTATGAATTACAGGAGTAAATCCCCAAATCAGGGATGCACTAGGAGCAAGCCACATAATATAGGATATTAGACTAAATGGTTCCTAAGTAGCTTTTATTTCTAAGACTTTATAAGGTTGTTATTTGAAGGTTTATGGCCTCAAGTTTTATGTTTTTAACTTTTCCATTTTTAAAAAATGAGATTTTAGGACCCAGACATAAATATTTATGGGTAGCAGACATGTAATTTGGCATTTGTTCAGAGGGAAGTTTGGCATTATTATTGAAAGTATAGAAATTTTTCAGGCCATTGTGCTAGTGACTCTAATTCTAAAAGTTCCCCCTTAGGAAATAATTAAGGATGTGCAACACGATTTATCTCCAAGGATATTCATTGAAGTGGTGTTTAAACTAGTGGAAGATTGAAAGGAAGTTAAACCAAACTCAAAAGTCTAACAAGAGAGAAATGGTTAAAGACTTTACAATTTTTTAGAATGGAATTTTAGTACAGAATGTTGTTATAAGTGACTATTGTCATTTGTTCTCATTTTATTCTATTTTTTAGAAAACAAATTAAATGTTTTATTTAAATGATTGTCTTCTCTTTTTATTATCATACTGCTCTCATTTTAATTGAAAATGTTCAGATGCACAAGATGACACATAAAATAATAAAAAATGATATGTGGTTGGAAATATCTGGTTTTAAAAAAAGGCATTTCTATTTGCCAGCCACATGATCTCTGACCTGACTCTCCACTTCTTCAGGTAGGTGATTGGATTGATGTTATTACATCCTAGTGTTGTGCTTCCAATGCAGTAGTACTTGAGAAGCACTTAATACACTTAATAATAGTCCATAATACATAGTAAAATCTCAATATGGTTTTCTCTGGTAATCATTAAATGCCTAAAAGTGACTTTAAAGTATAATGTATCTCATTAAAAATAGAGACTTATATGTACAATAATATATATTTCAGTATTAACAGTGGTTATCACTATTGTGACTGGGATCTTGAGTGTCTTATAAAATAACTTATAGTAGAAATCATGTAGCAAAAAGCAGAATTTCTTTTTAACTTAGTTGTATTTTAATTAAAATAAAAAATAATTTGTAACCATTGACACAGGAAACCTCCAGACTTACTTGGGGCTTTCTGTTTTAGTTGATTCATCAACATGACTTGCTGACTGTTGGTAGTCACCCATGCTATAAAAAGGATAAATGACAGGGCATAGAGTTTGTCACCTCTGATATAAACTTAGATTTGTTTTGTAGCAACAAGAAGTTAAGTCCAGCTCAGCAAAATATAGTGTTTAATTTGAAGAGCTGATTGGTTGTTAGCTCTGCCTTGTCTCCACAGCCAATTTTAAAAAAGGAGAAAGGAAGCATCAGAAGCTATATTTGTAACTTTTGATTAGTGAACTAGAGAAGGAAGCCAAGCGTTGAAGGGTCAGACGACTTATTGACCTTTACCTACCTCTTTAGCCCTCTGGGTTGGAAGAAGAACTTTTGTAAAAGTTGTCCTTCTCTATTAGAAATATTTCAGAAACGTACAGGGGAATATGAATTACTGATGTTTTCTATTTAACTTCTTTTCGAAATAGAAGTGGGTCATTTTAAAATCAATTTGTTCCAGAAAAATTTGCATGTAAAAGAAATTCCTTCAATTTAGAATTGTTTTCTCCATTTGAAACTACAGAATGGAAATGAGTTTCTCTGAACCCTATTCTGAGATCTGAGTAGCTGGGGTGCCTGAAACCCTATTGTCTAATGAATGAAAAGGGATCAAGACATGAAGATGTTATTACCACATATCCTGTGTGGAAGGAGTTCCAGTTAATAACAAACTTTCTCTAGAGTTTGTGGTCTAAAAATAACGCCAATCACTTATGCAGTCTGGATCGGAATTTGGACAAGGCTCACTGAGGAAGGCTCTTCTTTGCCCCACTCAGGGTCCTCTGGGAACTCCTGACTTAGAGCTAGAGCACACATTTCCCACCTGACTCACTCACAAGCCTGGCTCACTAGGATGGCAGCTGGTTGAGAGTTCATCAGAAACCCAGGGTCTAAGACCTAAGTTCTCTCCAGCCAGGGATCTCTGTAACCATCTCTCCACGGGTTCTCATCATCTTCCTAATTGCATAGTGGTTGGGTTCACCAAGACAACCCCCAAATCAATCAGATGTTCCCCAGGAAATGAATACCTGAATGGCTTAGTAATGTCAGTTACACAAGTTTATCTGGTCTTTATACTATAATTTAAATTTTAATACAGAACTTATTAGGAACATGAACTAGAGAACTATATTCATTTGAATGAGGTAGGCAAATGGATCAAATTTTCTTCCATTTATGGACACAAGTTCAAGAACCAGAGAACTAGTCAGTTAAATGTATTAACAATATTTTCCATATACTTTAAAAATTTAATGATTACTCCCATGAATTCCTTTTTGTGGTTTTTAAAGACCTCTGCAATTTATCTCCCTCTAGAATTTAGCTACCCCTAGCCCAATCCTGTAACTTCCTCTAGCCTTTCATCAATCAGTTTATGTGCCATGATTATTGAAAAGATGAATAATTCAATACCCCTTGCCTTCCCAGCTCAATTGTTCCATCTCCAAAATGGCTATATTGCTCGTGAGCCACTCCACTGGGGAACTAATTAAGTCTCTGAAACCAGAAAATATTTTGAAATTCCACAGTATTTTAGAAACTCTCATGGAAATTAATATGTGCAATAAAGACATTATTATTACTTCCCTGACACATAAATGGTGAGCAATCCCTTTTTAATGTGTTTGTTTTGAATATACTCCACAAATTTGCAGAAACTAATGTATTCTTGGCTCACTTCCATTAATGGACACCTTGTGAAGACTGAATATGACATGGCCTCTTCTAGCTATGTTGTTTTCTCATATCCCCAGCTTTTAGAGCATGCTTCTTACCAGAAAGGTGACCATGACATGATAATCAGCCTTTTGGGCTTCTGTTTCTTAATGGTAATGTGGATAGGAGTGGGATTCTAGGAATGTCTGCCATATAATATTGTCATATACACCCATAAATCTGCATGGCCCAACAAAACACCCTTGTCCAAAGCTGGAATTATCTGAATCTCTTCTCTGGGAATATTATATGAGAAAACTGGGGGGATTTGGTTAGCCTCTCTAGTGGCCAAAGCTGCAAATGGGAATCATTTGAGCCATGAGCAGGGTCTGTCTTCCACATGGAGAAACCACATTGCACAGTGAGCAATAAAGCCATACACTGGGAGAATGGTAGAGAGTGATTTCTAGAGGGACTGCATCCTTTGTTCCAGGTCTTTGGAAGTCCAGCCATGACTCTGTTTTCCTCTACAGCTTTTTATTTATCTTCTTGTTTCAACAAATTCACCTTTCTGCTTACAGTAGTGCACATTTGACTCCTGTCACTTGAGACTAAAAACTCTTCTCACTAATGGAACATTGAAGAAAGATTTGAAAAATGCCTCCCAGAAAATGTTTG